AGCATATACTCCTAAAAAAAAGGTGAGAAACGACCGATGTGTATAAGTATTTTTTTTATAAGTAATTACTATTAACTGAATATATGTCTTAATCTTGGATATTTAAGCATCGTCTTTTAGTTTTGATTATTTTTTTAATACAACTACTAATGTAGTGACTCGAACTCACAATATTTTAATCGAAATTAAACTAAGCTCTAGTTGACTTAATTTGATTCTTAATGTTGTGAGAGTTTCAATTATGTCCCTAAATATGTGTTCTATATCCCATCAAATTATTAACAATAACAAAATATAAAAATAATTAATGATGTGTGAATTTAAAAATAATTTTTCCTTCGGTTTGTAGATTGTTGGTGTTTTAACTGTTTAATAGGTCAATTTTAAATTCCAATTAATTACTACATACTAAGTTTATATTGAACAAATTTTATATGATATAAAAACAACAAATTTTAAATTTTATGAGCAAATAACGTGTTCACTAAATAAACTTGATTTTATCGGATTGGGTTTGAACATTCTATTTTTTGGATAATAATAATAAAATGTAGTAGTGTAAGGTTAAATCACCATTTTATGAATTGATTTTAATGTTATTTTTATAAGAGCGAGCAGTGGGACCCGGGAAGGAAGGGGCGTGGAGGCTGGAGAGGAGACGAGTCCTAATCTAACACAACCCGCTGGAACTAACGGAATTAAGATGGTTTAACCACCCTTGTCAACTTCAATCCAACAAAATTCCAGTGAAGTGGACGCGAAGTAAACGAACAAAAATTCCCTAATCAATTTCATTAACCTCCTCCATTTTCAGCCACTTTCCACCACCTATTTTTCCTTTAAAACCGAGAAGCAGATAGATCCCATTCATATTTGTCACAGTCGTCGTCAAATATTCCAAATTTAATTAATTTCCCCCGTGTACTCTCTGCGGTTTCAGCGCCGGCGCCATGGACGGAGAACACGGCGACGGGCGGCTGGTAGTGAGGGGTAGGGCGGAGATCGACACCAGAGCGCCGTTCAAGTCTGTCAAAGAAGCAGTCATGTTGTTCGGAGAAAGAGTTTTGGTTGGGGAAATTTATGCCAATAAAATCAAACAAGTACGTTTTTCTTAACCCTTACTTCCCCAATTCTATATTTATCCCTTTATTATTATTATTTTTTGTTTGAGTTCAACTATATTTATACTTCGCTCCACAATATTTTTTCCTTCATTTCAAATAGCCAGTCAATTATCACAATTGATTAACAATGGTAATTATCACGTATATTCTGATCTGGATGTAATTAAGTTTGAATCCCTCAACTCCACATTTGTAAAAAATTATTATCTATATATTTCAACTAGTTAAGATATATGTCTCATATCAACAAAAAGTCATGGATTCGAATCTTCACCACACATATTGTTATAAAAAAACGATTTGAAATAATTACATTAACTAGAACGTATTTTAAACCTAGCACATTGAAGAAGGGAAGAAAACTTAATTAAGAGATGAGGGGTGGAACAATACATTGGGACAACCATAAATCAATGACGACTCTAAGGCGATAATATATTAAATAGACTTTTATCATCTAGCTAATTGGATCATTAGAAGTATTTAAGTGCTCATTCGTATCTCGTGAACACGTAACTGCTAATTGACAAACGAAAAATATATAAATTAATGAGTTATAAGATTTTCAATGAGCGAAAAAATAAGTTAAATGCTGCCTTGTTTCATAATTATTATTTAATAGTTTTTTTATCGTATATTCGGACAGATATCTTCAGAAAATGAAGCGGGACAATCACAAACAAGAGTGGGAGCCTTAAGAGAGGAGCTGGAAGGAACAAAGCAAAGCCTAGAGAAAGCCAAAGAAGAGAACGGGCTACTGGCCTTCTACGTCCAGTCTTTGACGGACGAGCTCGAGCGCACCAAAATTGAGCTCCAAAAGCTCAAACCACCGCCGCACCAAAACCACCAGCTTTCGCCCGTGCCACCAATAATGCCATTGCCAATCCATCCCGACGTGGACGAAGATCTCAAGTTCGTGGAGAACGAAAAACAGAGCAGCAGCAGCACTAATAATAATAATAATAATAATAATAATGCCGAAATTAAAGGACCGACGACCATGACGACGTCGTTTCAGAAGAATAAGAGATACGTGAAATTTGCGAGCCCTCCCGAGCTGAACCGGATCATCGTTGGTAAGGCCGCCGATGAAGTGGGCGTGGCGGCACAAACACCGTCGCCTCCGGCTTCTGTTAAAAGGCCAAAGAAGAAGACGGCGGTCCCTTTGATTGGATGGCTTTTTGCTCAAAGGAAAGGAAATCGAGAAGCCTGATTATCAGTTCAGCTCATTAATTTGCCCGATCTGCTTATTTTTTGCACGCCTTTTTTTATATTTTTTACTGTCAAAATTGGTTTCTTTTAAAAAAAGTTGCTAAGTTTGGATTTTATTAGTTTTCGGTCCTAAGAACCTACGAACTCTACAAATAGAGAACAAGATGTCTACATTAGTTGAGAACTTATACGGTAAGTTTCCACAGTGAGAATAAAAGTTTCTTTGTACTATTCCAATTTTTGTTTGGTTCAATGTTTTTTTCTCCAATGTCCCAGCCTCCTTCTTGTGTATCAACCATCAGGATGACAAATGAACCATACTTCATATTACCAAAAAGTTTGACCGAATAAAAATAAAGACACGTCAAATAATCAGTTATATATTAACAAGTTGAGTCCTTAGACCATGAAATAACAATTGAATCAAATAAAACCTAGGTTGGATCATTGCAACTTTGAGCTAATAATTATCAATTAAAATACTAAACTTACCTCGTATACACTTCATACTTCATTAGAGTTGTTAATTAGTTAAATGAAATAGCGTGCATGTAACGATAAATTCGGAAAGCTTAAGTTAAAGCACATGGAATCTTTTGCTCTTATACCATCTTAAATATTATTACATTACTAATGAAAATATATTAAGAAATAGGGAAAAAAAACATAACAACATATATGATATGATAATGAGAATCTCTTATAACATACAATTAATATGAAAATTAATGATTTTTTAAATGGTAATATCAATATTACATATTTTTCGAATACTAGTGAAAAGCATGTGAAATAGTATTTGAAATTAAATGGAGTATATTGGACGATTCTGTAATATCCGTTTTATATATATATATATATATATTTCTTTTGAGAATATCATGCAATCTCATATCTATTCAAATAATTAATTTTCAAACAAAATCAAACTGAAATGTGTTCTAAAAAACACAAACACAGAAATGCTTAATCATGCATAGCATAGTGACTTAATAATGCCATTGAAAACAATAGCAAAAGGTTAATAAATTTATTATTTTTTAAATAAATGGTCGGTAAGTCGGCCGAACAGCATGCAATGCACGGCCGAAGGTTAGAGAAACGACACAGAACCAATTAAATATAAATATAGTGGTAAATTAATTAATTAATTAAAAAAATATATATATATATTTATTTTTTTTTGCAAAGGAATTAAAATAATTGTTTTATAAAAAAAATAACAATAATAATTACTGATTTTTGCACATGAAGCCATGTGACGTCTAAATGGTACAAAATATTCGAAGAAAGAAACCCATTTATGCACTGCATGAGAAAATGGCTTGTACACCATGCGTGGCTCGGACGGATCGGCTCGGCTTCTGCCAAAAGCTAGCTTGATAGCCAACATTTTTTTAAAATTATAATTAAAAACTTAATTGATACTGCTTTTTATTTAAAAAATAAAAAAACATGTCTATATTTTACTAAACGTCTGAAAAATGTTTTTCAGATCCTATTCGAAATCTGGAAACTCACGTTTCAGTTTCATATATTTTAAATTTTAGTTGAGACTTTAAAAATAGATAAATTATAATGGATGATAATATAATTAGTTGCCCTATTTACAAATTTTTCATACAAAAAATAATTTATATCGTGACAACTTTGTTTCTCTTGGCTATAAATGATATTTCATTTTTCTATATATATCACATGCGTAATAAACTATATTACTAATATTATAATTTTTATATAATCGATCAAATTTAATATATCAATATAAAACATATCGCTAATGCATATTTTTCATATTATTTATAAAAAGTCTGATATATCAATAAAAGTATATATAATGGATATACAGTATCATTAGTATATATTTGTATTTTACATTTGTGTTATTTTTTTTGTAAAATGTTTTATTGTGGGACAATTTTTACAATTATTTATGATAAATCTATTATCATCACGCATGATCCTTAAAAATATATACTTTTAATAAAATTATAAGAAGAGAAGAGATAAAACAAGGTATGGTATTGGGACGAAAACCGTATAATTTGATTTTTTTTATAATTAATATGCATATATTTAAAGATAGAAGAAGTATACATATATAGATAATGATCTAAGAGCATAAAATTAAGAAATATAATAGCTAAATTAATTAAAATTTTATTATTGACTAAAAGGTGGAAGGTTCAAATATCCACTATTCACATGTTGTTCACCTAAAAAAACTAGTTGTTTATTCACAATTTTTTTTTTGTTAATTTGAACATAATTCAACTAGTTAAAATAAATAAAAATAAAAGGATAAAAAAAAATAAAAACAGATTATATAATTTTTTAATTATTCATGTGACATTTTCCACTCGTTTCTTTTTGTTTGAATACAACATCACAAATTTTATTAGTTAAAAATGGCATAATAAATGCATTATGCGTATTTTATTATTTTGCTACCCGCAAGACATGGGTCGTTTTTAATTTGTATTTATTTTCATCCATTTGTATTGATAGCAGAATTCCCGTGAGATGCTGAAATTCAGGCCCTGAAATAAATCGGCAGTACATGCATACACTTTTGCTTCTTCATCGAGAGTATATGCATGTGTATATTTTTTAAAATTTGGGTCAAAACTTAAAATAAATGAAAATTCTTAATTATACTTCATTTACTTGACCGACCCTGAAATGATGGGTTATTGTAATTGCAGCGCGCTTTTTCAATAGTTCATTTAAATATTATGAGATTTATTGTTTGGAATTTTGCGGCAATTTGTCATTGAACTGACCATATGAGGACCCCAAAGCACCAAAATTCAACTGAATAATAACAAAGGAGTGCGAAATTTTGGAAATTAAAGAATGGTAGAAGTCGAGTTGGCTCAGCACGTTATGGGACAAAAACAAATCACCAAAAATCTCCCATCCTTTAAATGCCTCCATGATTGTATGTTTGCCAAACACCACATTCCACTTGGAAATTCCAGCCCAACTAGAGTACAATACAAATTTTCATCATACGTTTTTTACTAAAATATAAATAAGCTCACCATATTGGAGATGATAGTCACACCTAGTAAGATTTGTAAATAGTAAGAATATTACATATAAGCTAAATTAAAAAAAACACCTATAAATTTTGTCATTTATTTCAAAAATATCTGTATCATTTTTAAACATTTCAATATTACCATTGATCTCATCATGAACATTTAAAAAATACTATCATACATTATTTAATATTTTGAATGGAAAGTAGATGTGGTAGAATATGACACAACTTGACAACTATTAACGCTAAAGCTTGAAAAGAATAAATTTAGAATAAATTATGGTTTTTAAAATGGAGGTCAATGATAAAATTGAGTAGACAATTGAGAAATAAATCCGATTGCCAAATGAATAATAAAACTTTTTTGACAAAATTGAGACATATTTTCGTGATCCAATGAGATGACCAATAAAAAGAGAAATCATGGAAGGTTCATGAAGCAAGCTTCTAAGTTAATTGTTGCATTTTCAAATTTTGACACACCTACTTTTTGTTCAGGATACATTACTCTGAACACATATCGCTAATCATTTTGGTTAAAAAATAAAGTAACTTTTTAAGATATTAAAATCCTTACCTCATGAAATGGAGAATTAAAATTTTCGACCTTGTATTCGCGCAGTAAAACCAGGCTGATCTATATAATATAATTTAAATATATGGTATCAAACCACATGTGAATGTTCCAGCCCAGCCCAACCAGCCAGCCAATGCCTCTCTCCGTCCAACCCCAAAACAAATCATAAAATTTTGCCCCTATGCCATATGGATTGTTCATTTTCCATATAAATAAAAACCAACCCCAACCCCAACCCCAACTTCCCATTTTAATTTTGGTTCAACGAACCAGTTCAGTAAATCAAGCCAATGGAAAAAGGCCGAAGAATCCCGAGAAAGATGAAGGCCAATAATCCCTGCATCCCAAAGCTCAGAGGCGACGCCACGAAGAACAAGCCCCCTTCGCCGATGGGCCTGCTCGAGCGCCTCCGGGAGGCCCTGTTCCGCTTCATCATGCTCTGTGCTCTCTCCAAGGCCTCAAATAATGGTAGTCCCGCCTTCCCAGACGACGCCGTTGCGCGGCGGCGGCAGTACTCGTACTCGAATGCCGCCGACCACCACCACAGCGAGGCCGTCGCCGACTGCATCGAGTTCATCAAGAAGAACGCGTATTCCGACGACGACGCCGCGAGCGACAACGGTAGATTGATGGATGCCGGCGCCGACATGGCCGGTTGGGTAAAAATTTCGAGTAATTAACCGGTGGCGGTATGGGCTTATATTTCAGATACTTGGGTTTTCGAAATTATGTAATTTGGTAAGGAGTGAAAATGGGGTTTGGTTTTTTAGATAGATATTGGGGAAATAGAGAGGACTTGTAAATTTGTGTGTAAGAACTAAGAAATTCCACGAGAATTGTGCAGATTTCTGTGTGTACTGTTTTTTCCTTCTGTTATTTTCTTGTCACTCTTTTGGCAAAACAAGAATTGGCACCAAATATGACTGTTGGTCACACGAAAATCAATCAATTGGCCCTTTTTTTTTTACCCAAGACCGACTGACGGACTGAGTTCTCTCCGGCAAGATCTTTTTACGTCTTTACAATTTTTACTTGTCGTCAAAGTGTCTCAAGGCCATCTCACTATGACCATCTCACTCGTAATTTGCCTCTTTGATGATCAATTTTTTTTTTTTTTTTGTCTTTGAAAATTAAATTTAGAAACAATCCGTTCACTCTGTTATGTATTTTTAATAACCATTTTCAAATTTTGAAAACTAAAAAGATAAAAATATTATTTTTATTTTTTGAAAATTGGATGATACTTCAACTATGTTTTTAAAATAGGTGAAAAACTTATCCATAAAATTGTAAAGAAACAAGCATAAATTTTAAACACAAATGAACAAAAAAACAAACGGATACAAATCACCAAGGGTAGATTTTTAGCATTTACGACACTTTTATCAATCAAATGTTTTTATCTATAATTGAACGAATAAAAACAAAGCAATAAAAAATCAATAAAATGACGATGTAAGGTTAACTCAACTAATTTAGATACCTATTTCCAACTAAAAAGTAATGGGTTCGAATTTTCAACTCCCACGTTGATGTATTATAACATATTTAATACGGAGAAAATGATTTTTAAAAAAAAAGAAAGAAAAGTATAAAAAAGAGATAGGTGGGCTTAACTCTGGCCCACAATCAACAACTCGGGTCAATAGTTGAGCCACGAGAGCCCAATAAAAGATCCCATGTCCAGATGGTAGGCGTTCCCCTATCTTTCTTCCCGCTCCCATTTTAGGCGGTTGAAGACGTTGGCGGTTAGGGCATGGAAACTGTTCAGAGTTAGCACCAATTTCGGGGAGAAGATCACCATATTTGGGAGCTAAGGCAAAATTGTCATCAATGGGAGGTTAGTATAGTGATTTTATCTTATCATTCGACAATTTTCTGGTCTCGAATGAACGTCTTTAAACAATAATTGTTTCAGGGGCGCAATCCGAAAGAGAGGAGAAAGTCTCTTTGGAGCTAACCGAAGAAATCCTTCAGAGCATGGAAGTCGGCATGACATTCAGAGACTATGTACTTCCACTCAATTCTCCATCTCATTACTGAATTTCACTAACATTTAATTCTACAATCTATTGTGGCTAAAGATTGCTAATGGATATGTGTTGATGCGTTTGAAAGTTTAGTGCTTAGAAAATGAAATAGCTGACGATACTCCTCTATTTCTTAATCTTTTTCTCCTTTTTTTTTTCCCGCCTTAAAATATTGGGAGTGATTGAGTGCTTTGAATACTGTTGAGCCACTTGGTGCGGTCTTGCCGGCAGTGAAAGAATAGGAGGCGTAAAATTGGAAGGAAGAATTATTTATGCTGTCCAATTATAAGAAATCTTAAGTTTAGTCAATCTAACTGACTAGGGCATTATTATGTTAAAATGTTTAATCTGGTGTTTTGGTGATATCGTAGTTTACTCTTGTAGTTCTAATTCTAATGTCGTTTTTCCCCCAATTTATTACTCTCAGAATGGTAGAATCAGTTCAATGGATTTTCATAGGACTTCAAGCTATCTGGTGACTGCAAGTGATGATGAATCCATCCGTCTTTATGATGTTGCAAGTGCAACGTATGTTTCTCTTTAATCACTTCAATCCACATTGTTTTCTGCAACTTCTTGTGCTCTACTCATGTACTACTCAGCTGGTGTTCTATTCTAGTTCCTACCATCTTATTGTTTTGGGGGGTTTTTGTGGTTCCAGATGTTTGAAAACAATTAACAGCAAAAAGTATGGGGTTGACTTGGTTTGCTTTACTTCTCATCCGACAACAGTGATATATTCTTCAAAAAATGGATGGGATGGTAATGTTAATCTGAGAAAATATCTGCTCATATGCAATTTCTCTCATCTATTTTATGTTATTTATTAATTTTGTCTCCCTTAGAGTCTCTGCGACTTCTCTCCTTGAACGACAATAAGTACCTGCGGTATTTTAAAGGCCATCACGACAGGTTTGTCTCTTATTTCTTCTTCTTATTTATTTATTTATTTTTGTTGGGATCAGTATTAGTGATTTATATTTCGAGCTCATTATTATGAAATCATCTATGAATAAGAGGGATCAACTCATTTTTCCCTTTCCAGAGTTGTATCACTCAGCTTATGCGCTCGCAAAGAATGCTTTATATCTGGTTCTCTTGATCGGACTGTTTTGCTTTGGGATCAAAGGGCAGAGAAATGCCAGGTAATGCAATATGCACTAGAAGCTTAGTGTCATACCTGTCATCTCTCCCTCCACCTATCCACTCCATAAGAGAATAAATGGAATAGATATTTCATTAACTTAATTTTGAGCGTGTCCAGGGTCTTTTACGTGTACAAGGAAAGCCAGCTACAGCTTATGATGAACAAGGGCTGGTATTTGCTATTGCCTTTGGAGGTTATATAAGGATGTTTGATGCTCGCAAATATGAGAAGGTTCTAAAGATTTATAATTTTGCATGTACACACAGTCAACTTCAAGATCTGTTCCTCTGTAAATGTTTTTCTAGATGTTCTGATATGGTGAAAATTTTGGAAGTTTTTAGGGTCCTTTCGATATATTTTCTGTTGGGGAAGATGTATCTGATGCAAATGTGGTAAAGTTCAGTAATGATGGCAGACTCATGTTGTTGACGACTATGGATGGGCATATTCATGTTCTTGATTCTTTCCGAGGAACACTTGTGAGCTTTTTTTCATGTATAGATGCTTTACATTATAACTTGTATGCCCAAACTGTCTCTGATGTGCCATTGGTTTGTGTAGTTATCCACGTACAATGTGAAACCCATTTCAAGGAATTCCACATTGGAGGCATCTTTTAGCCCGGAGGGAATGTTTGTGATATCAGGTAACCATGCTTTCTACTTGTGTTTGTTGGATCAAAGCCCGAAGATATATCCATTTGTCATATGAACTTCTTGTAGAGCTACTCACTGTAATTCAATCTTTAAAAGATGACCTCTGGGATGTTTCCGTGTACGTTTATATGATCTCTTGTGAACATGCATCTATACTCTAGATGTTTCATCCATCTTGTTTTTATAGATAATATATATTAAAGTGTGACTTATCCTATTGAAAGAAGGGAGGGGCGAAAAAAGAAATTCAAAGAACAGTTTGGAACTCTTTTGGGCTCTTAACAATAGTTAACATTTTTGGTGTTCGCACATGTGGCAGGTTCAGGAGATGGCAGTGTTTATGCATGGAGCGTAAGGAGTGGAAAAGAGGTAGTGAAGTTCCTTAACTTTATTTATTATTTATTTTTTACTTTCCTTTTCCCTCTCATAATTTTCCCATCAATCAGTCTTTATGTTATATGGTGGCCCAAACACATATCACGTTGCATGATTTCACAGAACAAGTAATTGACAGAGGATTCTAATTGTCATAACACAGATCAGAATCTTGTTTTCCTCACTATCCTATCTTGATCCAATCTCAACATAAGCAGGTTGAGGATTGAAAGATTAGTTTTGGTATGGATTGTAATTGGTCATTTAATGTAAGTCTGTCACTATGCCGGCTAGCTGTATGAAGTGGGAGTATGGTCTTAGCAGTAAGTAGCAATATATCGAAGATTAGATAGATATCTTTTAAAATATATTCTTGCAAAGTCTATACTCAACGGTTCCTTCTCCATATTTCTTCTGTGTTTATGTCCCACCTAGGTTGCAAGCTGGATGAGTTCTGAAATGGAACCACCTGTCATAAAGTGGGCTCCTGGAAGTCTAATGTTTGCGACTGGATCCTCCGAACTCTCATTTTGGATACCTGATTTGTCTAAATTGGGAGCTTATGTAGACAGAAAATAGAAATCTTGTGATTTGTTAAACACCGGTGAAAATGACTTGTCTACCATCATAGTCATGGAGGAAATGACGATCTGTGTAGATAACATCCTGACTTCTTTCTCAAATCAATTGGTTCAGTGAGGGATGTACAATAGGAAGGGAGCAGCAGGTATTAACTGTAACGTTGCAAAACTGTTTTTGATGCTTAAGAAGCTGCCCATTAATCATGGCTGGAAGTGTTATTAACTTTTAAATTTCAACATATCTCAAAAGTGTAAATCAAACCTATACATGACTGTGGAATCCAAATTATTATTGGTTTAAAGCATTCAAAGGATTTTGAGTATGTAATCTAGCTAGTCTACATCCTGTCAAGGAGAATACTCTCTATCAGTACTTTGTAATGGGAAAATGTTATCATGTTTTGTATGATACAAAATTCTTTATTGATTAGGAATCAAGTGCTTAATGAAAGTTTCAGTTTCTTGGAATAATAGGTAGGGGAAAAAGGGGTGGTTGCAGAAAGAGCATGGAGGAATATAGACTGGCGAAAGTGTCAGTTGTGTGATCAAAGGAGCAGCTGAGCCAAAATGAAAGTGAGATTTTGATATTTGGAAAGGCTCCAAATTGCAAATGAAAATAAGAGGGGAAAAAAAAAAAAGAAAAGGGAAAGAAAGGCATGCGTGGGTGCATGTCATTTGCCTCATGTTACTGGTAAAGGACATTACGTACTTGAAGCCTCAAAAAGCTTTAAAGATCTTCTTCGATCCACAACTAAATTTTTACTGTACCTATCAACCATGAATAGAAGCTTTCTCTTCACTTTCTTTATTTTTCTTCTCTCCCCAAAAGACATTAGAGTCATTCGGAAGCCATAAAGTATGACAATTTGTCAAACCAAACAGAGAAACGCATCCCCGCCCAATATCTTTCTGATTGGGACCTTCTCAATGCCTCGTTTTACAAGCATCGTCCCATGGAGGAGACCCCACTAATAAATTGACTATTGAACTTTCCTTCATTTTCTTATTGCTTTTTATTTCATATGATTCTTTTTTTAAACTAAAATAAAAGCGGTTTCTTTTCCCTAATCTATGCCATATATTCTAAGGTACTCCCATGACTAGATTTGAAAGATTGGAGTTTGTTTTTCTGTAATTGCTAACAATGGACATCGACTTCAGTATAATTTAATTGGTAGCTCGTAGGATCGATCTTTCATCCCTTATTTGAATTGTAATGTTAGAAGATAATTTAGAGGGTGCAAACCAAAAATTAAAAAGAAATTGAGGAAATTAACAAAATTGAAGAGATTGGGTTGAGTAATGCTTGCATATGAGTTTAATTCACAAAAATAATAATTTTGCTTTTATATATTGAGAGGATCCTTGGTATATTTAAAGAAAATAATAGTAAAAATGATATAGATGACTTAATTCATCCATTACTCAACCATCAAAAAGAGGAAATATAATCAGATAGAAAAGGTGTAAATATAACATATACATTTAAATATAAAAATTTATATATAAAACTTGTATTTTTAAATTTGAAATGGTAGAGAAGAAGAAACAAAAAATTATTATTGAAAGAACAAGAAACCGTTAAAAAATACAATTACGTTTAACTCTTAAAAAAAATAATAAAAAATAATATGAGAAATGAGGAAAAAAAAACAAGAACGTTACCGAAATAAATATCAAAACTCTATTTTTAGAACATGCTCAACATTTCTCTCTCTTGTGTTTTACATTTGTGAGGAAACTAAAAGATGATTGTTAATTTTATTGGAGAAAGAAAATATCAACTTTGTTATCATAAAAAAGATTTATTTATAACGGGATGCAGTTGAGAGATCAAACAACAAATATCACAATTAAGATCCCAAGAAAGAGCTCTGATTGCATAAGTAACTATTTTTTTTCTTAATAATGTTTTGTGTTAGTTCTTATAATATTCTGATTTGTTCGATATCAAAGTTAAAAAAATATATATTCTCAATCTGTTTAAAATTAAAATTAAATTGAGAATTTGGAGTGTTGTTGGAAAGGAAAGGAAAAAAAAGCCCAGCCCAAGAGTGATTAGTGATGGAAAATTAAGCGCAATTTACGAAGTAGGGTTCAAACTTCAAAATATATACTCTTTATGAAAACGGCTGCATAGACATTCTCCATCTCTCATCATTTTATTCTCCTACTACTACACTTAAACTTACACTACTATACATACACTTTTCACCTTTCTCTCTCTCTTCCATTTATTCAACTTGAAATCATTGCAAAATCTTTTCCACGATACCTAAAAAAAAAAAAAGAATCTCTAATTTAATTAATTGGGTAAAAAACATATGCTTGTAAAATTTTATTACTTCAGAACAGATGTTGAGCGAACCATTTGAATGAATTTATAGGTATTTTATTCTGCGTGATTGAATTGTACTTGAATTGACTATGTAATATTTATAATATTGAATGGTAAATGAGTGGCAAAAGATTTTTTTGTGTTACTATAGTATCTATGTTTTTAAAGCTATTCGGATTTCAATTTGAGTTACTTTCAAAATATTTACACTGGAAGTTTTTCTTTATTTTTTTTAATAACGGTTGTTGCCATTGCTAGCTATTATTATATTATCTAATATTAGCTCACTTAAATACTTGTCTTATCTAATGGCTCTCCAATGTATGCTCAAATCAACATGTTTAAAGTTGCACCATCTGAGTTGTCAAATAATGAAGGTTAACTTGTAAGTTTAGTCCACAAACTTTCAAAACTGCACAACGGGTTTCTCAACTTAAAAAAGTGTCTACTAAGCATTAAAATTTTAATTTTGTATTTAGTAGGTCTCTAAAATTTAAAATGTACTATAGTAAGCCAGAAAGTTATTAGATACAAAATTTAAAGTCTATTGACCTAATTATAAACACGAAGTTCAAAAAACCTAGTAGACACAACCCTGAAAATTTAATTTAATCAATAATATAAGTGAAAACAATAATTTTTTTTTTTAAAGTTGATACTAAATTAGTATTGAGATTAAAAACGAGATACAAGTTTTAGACCCTAATTTGATTAAGTGGCATTTTTGTTATAGTTAAAAGAGAGCATGTGGGGTAAAGTATATATAATAGTTGTTATAGAAATATTTTGGGAAAGAATAAAAAAGATAGAGAAGATGAAGGGGTAGCGTGGGCCCATTTAAATGTCCACGTTCTAAGGCAAACTGGAAGCATGACCATCACACCATGGCCATCACCATGCACTGCCCATCCATCAACAACACAGACAATTCTGCTAATGTTGTCAGCCACGAATACCATGTCCCCTCCCTTCCTTTTACTTACCATCAAGATTTGTGATCACGATCAAGTGTTGAAATCTCAATCTTATGAAAAAATATTTCACCATTTTTAAATAAGTTAAAGTTTATTAATACTAATATATTGTGTCCATATTTAGCGATATTTTGTTTATATTATATAATCATTTTTTCAATTTTATGAAAATATAGATATTGAACCTGAGAAATATTAAACACGTTGAATGAAAATTTGACATTTTGGTTACCATTTGCTTTTTAATATTTGTTATAATCTCCCTCTAAGTTTAAACGCTTTCCTTCAACACCAAAAATGCTACCACCACCTGTCTCTCTCAGTCTTCCCCCTCCAATGAAGTAAACTCCAACCAAAAAAGAAAAAGAAAAAGAAAACGAAAAGGAAAAAGAAAATCTTTTACAAGTTACATATATTTATTTAACAAAAGATTATGAGTAAAAAAATTATGAATATTTTGAAAAGTACTTTTTAATAGGGTTAATAGACCTTCCAAATCCACTTTAAGACCTAGGTGGCGTGAAAGTGACTATATTTAACGTCTTTCCAGGGGATTATAACTTCCTATATTTTATCTCTTGATGATGGCACAGTGGCAAGACATGGGGCCTTATAGGTATCAAATACCATGAGATCTTGTGTTGGTCACTGGGTTGTTCAATTCAAACGACAAGCCTTGATTAAGGGATGCACAAGCGTAAACTACCTGGTATTGATTTTGAGAAATTAAAAAAAAGTTATTGAGAAATTTAGAGAGTTAAAAATAATTTTTTTTTTTGAAGAGGTATTGAAACCATTTCATTAAGAAGTACGTGAGAAATATATAAAATGGGAGGCTACATGAAAACACTCTTGTTAAGCAAGGAGATATCATAATCACAAAAAAGTAACATATTTCTAGCACATCAACTCTTTTGTTTGAATTGAGTAAGAGGTAACATTTTTGCACATGAACTAAACTCTAGATAAGCTAAGGGTTGACTCATTGTTTAAAAATGGTGATTGTTCATAATATTTGGGATTGAGAAGAATTCCAAGTTTGTGTAATCTATATTTTGATTGTATGTAAAAATTAAATCACAAAAATATAGTATTTCAAAATTTATGGATTGTAATATATAATTAACGTATGATTTTTAAATTAGAAACTTTATATAGCCCATAACATCAACAAACACAAAATAGAAACTTTTAAACCCTCAAAACCCTAACCCTAATTCAAGAAGCGAAACAACCCTTTCAAGGGTTTAGTTGTAATTTACTAGTCACATTGATCATTAATTAACTTCAAAACAAGGTTCGATTTTCCGGTTCCAAATTACACATGTCTTAATTTTATCTTAAAAGCACGAAATCAGGAAACAGAAAATAAAAAGGTGGGATTTTGGTAAAACGGTAAATACAGTAGCTAGCTTCCACGATTGGCATCATAATAAGAGACAAAGATCTTCGTAATATCAGTTTCAGCACCTAATTATAATTAATTAGAAATTAAATTACTACTTTTTTTTCTTTTATTTTTTAAGTAATCCATAGAAGTACTTGTGGGGTTTGGTGATCATCAGATTGCATCATCCGGTGAGATGGCGGCGTAAGAGTTGAGGCTGAGCTCGAGCGAAGCCCGGGAAGCGGCGGCGGCGTCGTCGGGGCGGCCGTACCAAGCGGTGGCGTAGTAGCCGTCGGAATATTCCGGCTTCATGCTGCAGAAGGCGCCAAGATTCCGGTCGCCGTGGATGGGAAAAAGGGGGAGCGTTTCGATCTCTTGGCCGCCGCCGTCTTCCATGGATTCCTCCACCGATTTCGTCTTCTCAAAGAACCCACTCGCCGCCTGTGCAGAATAAGGATCCACGCTCATCCACCCCATTCGAGACCCCATCAACCCACTGCTTCCTCCCGACGATATCGAACAATCCTGAACAATAAATAAACCACTACTCAAAACCCAATAGTATGCCGGGATTCAAATACAAGATCTCTTACGATGAATAAACCACACTCAGTACAAATACTTGTGCAGATGGGATTACGTCAAAGGGCAAATTAAAAGATTAAGAATCGGTCTGGTGGGTGAATTAAAAAAAACAAAATTGAGTTTAGAAAATTACTCTGAAACTGTTCTCCACAGTGGCAGAGGCATATGATCCGTAGTGGCCCATATGGCCGACCGCAAGCATAACCGAAGAAGAGGGAGCTGCAAAAAGAGAAATTAGTAATTAATAATTAGGAAGAAGAGAAGAGAAGAGAGAATTAATTGATATAGTTTTGAAAATGTTAACCTGGAGGAAGAGGAGGAGGAGACATAATATTGGATGATTGTTTAGGGAGTGGAGGAATGGTGATGAGATGGTGATGATGATCAGAATTGGAATTGGAATTGGAATTGGAAGAAGAAGAAGAAGAAGTGAATCTTTTCTTCTGTCTTTCGCGAGCCTTGTGGTTCTGAAACCAATAAAAGACGTTCTTGCCTTCAATTTTGCCGTACTGTCTAAGCCTAGCAGAGATCCTCTGAATCTGATCCGCACTCGGGGACCTAACTCCATTGTTGTAATAAAGCTCCTTCAGAATCCTTATTTGGTCGCTTGTGGGTGTCCACCGGCTGCTGCTTTGCCTCCCACAAACCAATCCCCCTTTTGACGATCCTCCATTATTATTCCCCTCCACCACCATCTGATCTTGCAGCTGTTTCTCCTGCTGATCCATATTCACAAATTTCAAATGGGATTTGAATTATATTATAATATGGGAGATGGATGGAGGAGAGGAGATCAGAGAGCAAATCTGGGAGAGAACGACAGGCGGGGGGGTGCTCATAAAAAGGGAAGGGACAAAAGAGGCCTTAGAAAGACTGCCTATCAATGCCTTTTTCTCTCTTAATAATTATATTTTTACTTAACCACTTTACCACACACCCACATACAAACATAGAGACAGACAATGATGCAATAATGTAAGTGAGGATATTGTTTGGGGTCAAAGAATGAAAGCAAAT